TTTTTAACGCACTTATAGAAGAGGTAGTGCATTATGCACAGGCACCCTGTTGTTTAACGCCGCTATTCCGAGGAGTACAGGCAGAGCTTGAAATGCGCAGGAGTCCAGTGGAGCCCGGTTCCGATGCTTTTCAGTTTTTGAGATAAATCATAATCTTCGCCGGAGTGCACTGGAGCCCTAAATAAATGGACTTCTGCACTTCTGTTATGTAAATTAACCACAATTTCAGCATCAAAAAATTTAATATTAAATATGGTTTAAATATTAAATATGGTTTAAATATCGATTCTAACTTCTGAACGCAAGCCTTTCTTTCGTTCGGACACAAACCTTGGACAGAGTTTGAGGCTTTTGAGGAAAGAAAAGCTCAAATTCACATGTTAAAGACTTATTTTCCAGGAAATGCAATGAATTGATGAGAATGGGTTAATTTTTCGTTCCTGAAAAGGTATCACTGCCACGCTAGTGATTTTCCTACTGTAGAGCTCCAGCATCACGGCCCAAAATAAGACGAGGTGGAATAATTAATTTTTATTTAGCTATTTAAAATTAATTTAATAATGTATTAAATTTCTATTTATTTATTTACATCTCTTTTAATTTTAATTTAATTACTTAGTTATTTTAATATTTATTTATTTATTGTTTCTTTACTTCCTGACAGTGTTCCATAGGGCTCCTTTTCTAATTTTAGAAATTAAGTCTCGGCCACAAGTATAGATTGTTATTAGGGTGAACTAGGGATACGAGCTGCTGGTTTCTCTCCAGTTGAAGTGTAATTTAATAGCCATCTACAAAGTCTTCTTATAGCCTGTACATGACTTCACTAGCCTTAATTTGAATCATTATTAATAAATATGAGTGTCCGTAACACTATGTGCAGAATTTACTGAAAAAACTAAAACTGATTCACATTTTCTCAAGTCTGCCAAAAATAAGAACAAATATAATATTAAAAAGTAAAAGTTTAGTTTTAAAAGTTTCAAATATTTTTTTCAAGTTTTTCTACATATTTTAATTAAAATTTTATTACCAATTTTAACAGTGCATCTTTTGCGTTTATTGAGTCGATATAATATTATTACCTAATTTACCGAACTCATACGTTTTCGTTTGCTTTCAAAGCTTATATTGTTCGTTCACGTGAACATTAGTTCTAAAACGGTATTCCAACAATTTATAATAATAATAAAAAAAGGAATTAACATAAATATGTTTTAATATTGTTTTTTATTGCAACTCGATAGAGTTGGCAAGCCTGAGTTTGACATGAGAATTCAGGAAGCCAGAGAAAAGCTGAGAAAACTGATGATGTTTTATACTTATTGATCTTTGAAAGCTCTGAGTTTAATAGGAAGTAGATAAATACATCACAAACGATTATCTCTTGATATCACTTATTTGTTTCAGGAGATCAATGGCCTCTACGAGCTCTACTTCGATAAATATTTCAAGTGTCAAGATAACAGAATTTCTCATCGTAATCAAGAATGGCCAGGTAAATATGTTTACAATGTAACCATGTTTACATTTTTATTGCACTAAGTTCAGAACCGAAATTGGTATATTTTGAATACAGTCAAAGGAACCATAGAAATGTACTTTTCTGAGCTCCACAAAATATTTTATTACTGTTAAAAAAATATTAAGTCAGCTTAACGTTTTCAGTTACAAAAATCTTGAATTATTTAAATGAGTTAATTTTCTTTGCTTTACTTCCTTTGAGCGACATTTAGTACACCTGGGCTGCTTTTACAGGCACTAATAAAAATCAAATACAAAATTCGATTCATTGTCGCTCATAATATGGAATTCGGAATTTAAATAAAGTTTGATTTAGAAATAAAGTACCTTAATCAAAATATGATAACAAGCATTCAGATCTCAAATAATTCAGTCAAAATTTGTTATACATTCGATAAACGGAAAAAATATCGGAAGAGTCACTATTATGCATTAATTTTTAATCAGAACTCTTCCATGACTCAAAAGAATGAATGCATTCTCATATGCTGTTGAAATCATTGCTATGCACACGCCAACTTGAGGCGAGATCTCTGGAGCCCAAAATTACCCCAAAAGTGACTGCTCTGTGATTTTTGTGTTTAATTTGTTTTATTATAGGGTTCTGGTACATATTTTTATGCATTAATGATTCAACATTTTACGGAACTTAACTCCTTAAACTATGGTTCAGAGAAGTCAGACAGGAGATTTATCGCCCGTTATAATCTTTCAGTAAAGTAAGGTGATTTAAAATAAACCTTTTTATTAATTCCAGTTAGTCTACTAGTTTACTTAATCTGTATAATAATAGAAACAATCTCCGCTATGTGCGGAATGAACCAAAAAAAAAAATATATATGTATATAAAACTGGATAATTTGAAACATAAGATTTACTGGGTAAAGTGAGCCTACAAGTTTTAGCTCAGGCTGTTAACTTATGTGAGCAGACACGGCTAGCAAGGCTAAAGAAGAGTTGGACAATCTGCTTCGAAACTCATTAAAAAACGATTCACTTTACTGAGCGAATGAAGAATGAGTTCCAAAACACGGAGTGATAGTTCTTTTAAAATTCACAGACAGCTCTTGTTAGAAGCGTTCCAAGAAGAGAGATGTGCTATTCGTTCACAAACCGATTCGCTTTACTGAGTGAGTGAACACCTGATTCGCTACAAAAAGAGCGGAGCTCTTGTTGGAAGCGTGCCAGCAAAGTTCGATTCTCATTTTAGCGAAGAAAAGAATATCCCCCTATGTTAAAAGTGAATTTAATTTTTACTATTTTCAAATTTTTTTTTAATTCTATAATTTTATTGCTATGTAGAAAGGAGGTTTTAGGGATTCTCAAAACTACAATTTAAAGAAATCAGTTTTGGATATGATGATGGAGCCGATTCTTCCTATACCAGCGCTCGTTCGATTCCATCCGCTCTTCGCTTCAACTTATTTAACCGCTCTTGATTCACTCCTCGCTCCTGATGTTTTTCATCAAGCTTATTGTTAGTGAACGGTGAGTCATTAAAAAAAGTGTTTAAGTTCAGTGAGCGAACGGCTCTGATCCGATCCCATAAATCAGCATTTTATCCATCTCTAAGTTAAAGCAGAATTCAAGTAATTTTAGAAACTAGAAAAAAAAAATAGTATCGAGACGGTTAATAAATACTGCTAAAAACTTTCTGTTAAACTCAAGAATTCTGTACTTATATACATTATGCAATTTGCATCGTGATGTAAGCCGACGAAAGTAGAATACACAGTAAAGTTAGAAGTAAATAAATATACCGGCTAATGATGAAGTTGAATGTTTAGAGAAAATAGAAAGAATATAACTGGTTAATAACTATAAAAACATACACTTTTAGCTAAATTATTAACATTCCGACTGCATCTAATTGAAAAAAAAAAAGAAACAAGGTCAATGAAAAGTTTACTTCACTTGCAAGTTAGGCCAAAAAGCAACCTTAGCTTGGCATAAATTTTTATATTAGTGTATATTCATTGGGAATTTATGGCCTATCTTATCAGTGCAGTTATACTGACGGTATATCTTTGCATCAAGGAACACGTATCTTGCATTCATAAAGGAGAAATAAACAAATCTCCCATAGCTAATGATAGTTGGGCACTTGATCACAGTTTTGGCTTTGGTTCTGCGAATATTATTGGCAAAGCTTCTTCAGTTGGTAAACTGGATTTCTTTGAACCCGTTCCCATTAATAAAAATTTCTCTTATTTTAGTTAATTTAGTTCTTCTTAAAGCATTCAAAATTCCAGTATTTTCCTGTATTAAAATTCTAGGCATTTTCCTGTTTCATTGGTATATTATGCTCAATGTTCGTTTGTCTTTTTTATAATTTCTGCGCAAAATGATTGTAGCTTCTTCCAGCTTCAGGAAACTTAATTTTGCCCATTCAAGATTAGAAATATAAATCAGATCGCCATCGAATCAACAAAATTTTATTCAAAAGTTATGCTAATCTATGGTTATTTTCTTGTCTAATTTTAAACTCTGACCGAAATTTCAAATTGTATTACATTCTTCTCAACTTAATGGAAGGTACGTCAAACCAGCAGTCCTGTCATTTCTTGGTTTGGCATATTTGTCTATGGCAAAGCAGGCAAGAACTATCTACGTAAAGGGAGGAGGGTTCTAAGAGAAACTGTCTCATACGCATATTACACATGAGGAAAATCACCAAAATCAATCATTCAAGCAGCCCGTTCGCTTGGGTTCGAACGCAGGTTTAAATACCCCATGTTCAACAACTTCACCACACGGTCGCTGACGGTCCCTTTCGTGTGTTGGAAAAGAGGGTTAAAATGAAAATTCAATTATTTATTTTCATATTATGGCCTTTTATAATTGTAATTATAATATTTAAAACAGCTAAATAGTGTAATCACTGACCACTTGTCCAGACAATATGCACAGGCATCCCGGGTCCCACGGTTTAGAAAGCAGATATCAGGGCATTGCCGGCCATAGTTCTCTAAGGGCTGTTTGTTTTAGTTTAGTTTAGTTTATTAGTGTAATCATAATTACTTACTTAATTTTAAGTAACTTATTTAATTTAAGTTACTCGTTCATTTAAACTGCATACTGTGCGACTTAAATATTTCACTACTTTCTTTAGACAAATATAATTCATTTCAAAAGGAAAACACATTTATCCGGATGAGCAGATGCGAAAAAGATATTTACAAAGCAACAATGGATGCCTGTCACTGATCACGAACGTGCATTTGGGAAGAAAAATTCTTTTTCAGAGAAAATAAAACTAAACTTTCTCTTAAAACTACGAGACATTTCAATAATGCATAACTGTCACGGATCTGTAAAATAAAAATCAGAGAATGAACATGGGTTTTGTAAACAATACGTAATTGTTATTTCTTCTCATCTAACTTCAATTCAGTTCCCAATTGACATTTCACTGACGCAAAAATTTATTATGCATTGTTACGCCTAATAGCTGCAACTGTTGGAAAGCTGCGTGGAATAGTTATGACATCCGTGCTATATCATTGGAGAAACCTTATATAGTATATCAACAAGAAATGACGGAATCTTTACTACTCGTGAAAGAAGAAGAAAAAAGGCAGCATGAGGATCTGCATATTATTTAGCCTTATAACTATGAGTGTTGCTGGCCCCAGTAAGTTTCAGTTTCAGCCGTTTATTTCTACTGAATCAGGTCAACAGTTTTTCAACTATAATCTTTTCGAAAGTCTAAAATAATATTTCAAGACAAAATAACAGAGATTTTCTAGATATCTTAAATTTATTATAATAGCTTAGATTTTATTATGGTAGCTTATTTCATGTATTTCTTAGATTTGTTGGAGATGCAGATTTTTTTAGATGCCTTCTAAAACAGAAGTTCTCAGCCACGGAGGAATACGGTCACCGCTTTCTGCTGTACGGTTAAAAAATATTCTAAATCTAAATAAATGTACATGTATTTTCCGAATTTTGTAAAAGGGGGAATCATCTACCAAGGTGAAAGGGGTATTTGGGGCAAGACAAGTTGAGAACCACTGTTGTGAAATATATAAATGATAATATCTTATAAATATGCGGCTTAAGTGTTTTTCGCCGATAGTTTATTGGTTGCTTGCGTAACTGTAAATTGTTTTATTTCCCGTGCAGTGCAGCGCGTGACGAATATTATTGGAAAGTTAAGCCGGAAAAATTAAAAATACAAGAGCACGTGCATTTAACATTTAATAAATAAATTTAACATCTGTTTGTCGACGATAGTTTATTGGTTGCTTGTGTATCTGTAAATTGTTTTATTTCCCGTGCAGTGCAACGCGTGACGAATATTATGAGAAAGCTTAAGCCGGAAAAATTAAAAATACAAGAGCAAGTGCATTTAACATTTAATAAATAAATTTAACATCTATATGTAATAGAATTCGGAAATATGCAACCGGCAATGATGACAAAACAAATAAAATGAAATAAATAAATATCTTTATTATAAGCGGCTTAAGTGTCTGTTTGTCGCCGATAGTTTATTGGTTGCTTGCGTAACTGTACTAGCCAATGGGGTGAAGTTGCCACGTCACAGGGTTGTCGTTTCAATTGAGACGTAAACAATTTCTTGTAAAACTTGCCTTTGCTATAACCATCCATAAGTCTCAGGGCCAAACGCTTAAGCGTGTTGGCATTTTTTACCTGAGCCTGCATTTGGACACGGTCAACTTTAAATTGCCTGTTCAAGAGTTCGTGAAAGAACGGACGTAAATTTAAAAATATTTGATGGTCCTCTGCAAGGCGAGCTTAAAAATGATGGAAAGATCTACACAAGAAATGTTGTGTACAAAGAGATCTTTGACATGTGAATTAACATTTTATTATATAAATCACCTTTATTTATTGAGCTAGAGGCGGCTCTTAAGAAATGTTAGAAGGGGGAAACCCCTTGTGGCAGTAAGCAAAGCCGCCTGGCCTGGGTAATTCAGTTTGAATTAGCAGACACCTTTGCATAAATCATTTTAATTACAATTTATAATATCTAGAACAGCTGTCATTTCATATGACCGCCGGGCTTTTTAGTAATGTATAAGCGATCTATAAAGCTATTAAATTTTTGCATGCAATGTAATGTAGAAGCTTTTCACTTCCTTGTACGAAGTAAAGGAAATATTATAAAAGCGAAAAATGTCGGCTATATTTTCAATATAATTGCAATGGAAATATGCATTTTTATCGTTTCCGAATCAATTTCAACTTTTTTTTTTTTTTTTTTTGGAGTGACGTTTGTACGTACGGCCAGAATAAACGACTCTTTTTTTTTCTACATCGAATTGTGAAATGCATTTAAAATGGATTAAAAATGAATTTTTCGTATACATACGTACACGTACGTACGAATGTAGCTTGCATAACTCAAAAACGATTAGCCGCAAAATGTTGAAATTTTGTATGTGTGACTGCTATAACATTTCGTTGTGCACCTTCTATTTTAATTGCAATCGGCAACATCAAAAGTGTGTATATATGCTTGAAAAACGTAAAACTATCCCTAAAGCTGCATTAAAAAATATTTTATTTTATAGAGAAGAATTATCTCCTTCGAATAGAAAGGAAAATTGGAAATTGCAAAGCTTATTGAAGTAAAAAGTTTTTTTTAAAATACGAGCTAGAACATGTATAAAGTTTTAACTAAAAGTAAATTGAAAAACATGGTAAAAACGGCTTAAAATTAAATTTAAGAAAATGTGATAAAACTGTAAAGGGCGAAAATTTTAAGAAAAATTATAGAATTAATTATTGCCATTAAACGGAAATTAATTGACTTTTCAAGGGGGAATAAACCTATTTCCGCTCAATTAACAATAATTAATCGAAGCGATTATGTTTTGCCATATTTATATGAATCAACCAATTATACAATTTCGAATCAGGAAGATATTGAATCAAAACTGATTCCAAGCACAAGTAAAGAAAAACCTTAGGAGGAGAAAAAATCAACTATTGAGCATTTAACCAATTTGATTCTACTTATAAACCCGGTATAAACCTTAACTAATTATTTGAGTAAAGATTGATGGAGTTTTACCTAAAATACCTTAAATAATGTATGCTTTATTCGCAACTTCCAGCAACCGTCAGTCACCTGTGATCGACAGTTCTCCTGAGCGTGTACTGATATTGGTAAAAATTATTTCCAATGTTATGTTATATATACTTAATTATTATTGAAAAAAACGAAAAGATTTGGATTTTAACGATTGCCCAAAAGGGCTCAATGTGGTTTTTAGTGGCGAATATCAATACAGATGGCTCAAGTAATATAGCGAAACATTTCATAAGTTACTAGACGAACAGCTATTTAGATTATACTTCGGAAATTTGGATATTTTCTGTCTATTGGAAAACTGGAAAGTATCTAACATGGTAGGGTACGAACTGCGCGAAATTTGATCGGAGATCCCCAACCAGCTCTTATCTAATCCACGAACTGCGGGACGTTTCCTGTCCCCTCTTTCTTTAGCAAGAAGATTGGGTGCTACAAAAAGTCATTTATCGCCATTAATGGGACATTTTATTGAGACTGCAAGACTGTATTTTCATTTATCAATATTGTAAAAATTGTGCATACAAAACAAATATTAAAGTCTGGCGTGTGCTAAAGTAAAAATGAATTTCTTTTACACTCATTTTAAAGTTTTATGATGTTTAAAAGAATGATGAGCCAGATTTTTTTTATTCTCTGTAAGAATTAAAAACTTTTCAAGTTGTAGATTTAAGTCGCTGATATATATATATCAGTTTTTAATAATAAAATTGATAGATTAATGACATACACAAAACTGATACATAATCAACCTATCAAATATCGGATTTGTAGCGCATTTTAAATTAGTTTCTTGTCTAAATAGATATTAACAAATCATCTTAGATAGCAGAATGGTTTTAACTATCAAATTTATCATTTTAGGTAAACAGTTCTAATTTAATTTAAACAAGTCTCTTTATTAAATCTAAAAATTGGATTTCTTAAGTGGTTCTAAATTCACACTAATATTATTGCAATATATTGACGCATTAAGCTTTCCATTTTTAGTCATTGAAGTTATTTAACTATTTAGAGTTTATTATTTATGGTTTTATTTTAAGTTTAACTTTCTTACAAGTTCCATATTTTAATACTAGAAACGTTTAAATATTTTTTCTATTTTCCAGTTACTCTACCTGATGTACTTTGGCATACATTTAATGCAAATTTAATTAATAAATTGATAATTATGAGCGTCTGCAGAAAATTCATAATTAATAATAATTAACAAAAAAGAATCGAACTCCCTTTTATTCATATTTTGGGATTTTCATTTCCCTTTTAATCCATTCCTGTTTCATATATTGTTGCACTGTATTCAAATTTTCGTGTATGTAGAATTTATATATTTTATATTGTATTTATGCCAATTTATATTTAAATGATAATTTTTTACAAATTCTTGCATCATAACTAACATCATAACTAGTTGCATCATAACTAGTTAACAGAAGATATTCTAACACCTTGGTAAAGTTTAATCTTCAACACGCAGCTCATTTTCCAACCTATTTTCAGGCTGAATTATTTGTAAAATCAATTATTTGAAATTATTTTTAATAAAGATGGTCGCTAAATTACGCTAATAATATTTCTAACTGTTGTAATTTATAATACAACGAGTTCATGTGATTTATAATATAATTCATTTATAATTTTTTCAGCAGTATTGAAATTAATAGCAGATACTGAAAATGTTATACATTTAGATTACAATGATTTAGATTTTCATTGCCTTCTTCACTAACGCTTTTATATTACATTTTTGATATTTCATAATCGCATACAGATACGTTTAACTCATTCACCAAACATGTAAATCTCTAATTCAGCGCACTTTTGTTCTTACGTGCGCTGTAATTGTTCAGCCTAATTTCAAGCGGAAAAGTCACTAATCATTGATAGTTCGACCCGAGTTTCTAATCCCAGAAAGCACCCATCTCTTTCTTTTTTTGTACTTACTTTGTAAAAACGTATCGTAAAAATTTCAGTTCATTAAGAAAAATTATTTTTGAAATTTATTCTTTAAAAATATTGCAAAAATTTTCCCCTTAGCATATCTTTTTACAAATCCCTTTAATAAGAAAAAATAAGGAAAGAAATTAACTCGGATTCGATGATTGATACCTAGGTCCAAATTATATGTAACCTTTTCCAAAATCATAGAGTTTATATGGATATCAATAAATTAAGGAATATTTCCCCATCTAATTTTCTTAACATGTTTATTCCAGCATTTTCTTTTCACACTGTAGCGCTTAACTTTATGAGTTTTCTATAATCATTCAATTTCTATAGCTATGGTAACTTTGCATACTTCTGACAAGTAACTTTGCATACCTTCTGACTTATATTTTTACCACTCTATTTTAATTCCTGTTGACTATCAGTATATTATTCACTTGCTTCACAAGTGCAAATATTTATTTTGTACGCAAATCTACGTAAAATAGCAATAAAACTTCAGTTATGCGGAGCTCCTGATCGATTGCTTGTTTTAGATTGAATGAAATTAAGCTTAATGTTACTGTTAATTCGTTTGTTATTAATTTAATTGTACGTTTCTATTTAATTATATGTTCAGATATTTAAAAGTATATTACACACACTTTTGCATCCCAATTTTTAGTTTTTGGTTAAAAAAATAAGCTTTTATTTATTGAGAGGCCTGATTGATTATATTAATTTGCAGTACTGTTTATCTAATTCTTTTCTTCTAGATAAATTTTAGAAAAAACTTCTTAGCATAATAATTTAAATTTATTTTGTAACAGACCTATTTAAGTGTAATTGAACTATTTTATTCACGCCATGAACTCATGAACTGTAACCGAACTATTTTATTTAAACGCCATCTCGTGGCGATATGAAAAAACGTCAGTCGAACTCCAGCCGCCATGATGATAGTTTACTATGTTATGTTATTCAAATGTTTGATGTTCCATTTGGTATATGTTTCATTTTTATGTATATTTCTTTTGTTTGTAACCGTTCCTGTGTGCTCTCTTAATAATACTCCTTTAAAGCTAGCCGGCATTAGTGTCTATTGAGGAACGGCTGCATGACATTGGACGCCCAACTAAATTTGAATCCAAAATTGGCGCAACGTAATGTTTAGAATTTCTGTTTGGCTTTGACAAGCTCTTACTCCCGAATTTAACTTTTAGTTGCTGGAGATCGGATCAGTTTGTTTTCAGGTGTGGACTACTGGTCAAATGGTCTGGAAACCAATTCTGGAATTAAAATTGTCATACCGTGCTGCTAGCACATCGAATCATCAACTGGACAATTTCAACGGAAAAGATAAGTAGCCATTGGAGCAGTGTTGCTACAAGGGGAGAAAAATGAAGAACACCCTATAGAATATGCCAGCCGCTTGCTGACTGCATCAGAACGAAACTATTCCACCATAGAAAAAGAAGCCTTAGCAGTAGTATGGGCACTCAACAAATTTAGAGGATATGTTGAAAGCCAGTCTATCACAATCACCTCTGACCACCAACCATTGAAATGGCTGATGTCTTTAAAGTCACCAGCTGGTAGGCTCGCAAGATGGGCCTTACAAATCCAATCCTACAATCTGGCTATCAATTACATTCCTGGACGATTGAACTTTATTGCTGATCTATTGTCTCGTCCTATTTGTGAACACTCAAGTATAGATTCTTGTCAAGTATGTGCTGTCTCTGTCGAAATCCCTACTATTAGCCCTGCAGAATTAAGACAATCACAGCCTAGAAGATGATGATCTTCGGAAGATCATCGAAACTTTTGAGAGTCCAGAGAAAGAAGCAGACTGTGCAACTTGGACTGGAAGAGGCTCCTACGTTATGAACAGAGGAGTTTTGTACCGATATTCCCTGATTCAGAAGAGGAGAAGAAGCTCAACTAGTTATACCTCAAAAAGGAAAAGCAGAATTCTTGAAAGAATATCATGATTCGCCAACGGCGGTCACTATTGATCTGAGGAACATTTTATCGAATAGCAAAAAGATACTACTGGGTTGGAATGAGAAAGGATATAGCGAATATGTCAAAAGCTGTCTCGAATGCTGTCGTTATAAAGCCACTAATCAAAAGCCATCTGGTTTACTTCAAACTCCAGTCTATGCTCAACGTTTTGAGACCTTGTCAATTGATCTTTTCGGTCCCCTTCCTGAAACACCGTCTGGTGAAAAAATGGATTTAATTGTGCAGGACTGTGTGCTACGAAGTGGACAGAACTATTTGCTTTAAAGGAAGCCACGGCCAGAGAATGTGCTACTATTCTTTTGGAGGAAGTCGCCCTTCGATTTGGGTTACCCAGGAAAATAATAAGTGATAATGGTACCCAGTTTACTAGTGCTGTTATGCAACAACTATGCTATATCTTGAACATTGATCAAAGTCTTACTCCTGTCTATCACTCACAATCTAACCCAGTTGAAAGGAAGAATAGAGATCTGAAACCCCGTTTAGCAATACTTATTGGTAACGACCATCAGTCATGGAAGGATAAACTGCCATTAATAAGGTTTGCTTTGAGTACAGCCAAATGTGATTCAACTGGACATGCTGCTGCTTTTCTTCAATTTGCACCAGAGTTACGAACCTTAGATGATGTAAAGCATGATATAAAAGCCGTAATTGAGAACGATAATTTTTTCCCGAAATTACTCCATATTTGAAACGTTTTGCAAGAAATGTACAACAGGTACGAGAAAGAGTCGAAGTGCATCAAGATAAGCAGAAACGATATGCTGACAAAAAACGAAGAGAAACGCCGAAATTCGTTCCTGGAGATAAAGTTTGGGTCACCCTCCACCCAATCAGCAAAGGTCCACTGAAGAAAACTGCTAAATTCATACCCAAGAGAGATGGTCCTTATGTGATAGTGACTACAAGATCTCCAACCACTTATGATATTGCCGATCCTCATGAACCAGACAAAATTCTCGGCAAGTATCATGTTTCAGCCTTGAAACCATATCAAGATCGAAATAAGCAAAACTCAGCTCGTGTAATTCCAGTGGTTCCCTTAAAGAAAAGAGGACGCCCGAAACGGTAATACCATCCGAATCTGCACCTGTTGCACAAGGTGCTGGGTGACGCAAAATCTACTCGTCAAAAACTGGAGCCCGTCCATCTGATTCTCCGCCCGCTGCACAAAGTAGACAAATGTCAGTTCCTGACTTCTTGCCGAGACGTCTACGAAGTCAGAGGGGCAGAGGGGGAGGATGTAACAGACCTATTTAAGTGTAATTGAACTATTTTATTCACGCCATGAACTCATGAACTGTAACCGAACTATTTTATTTAAACGCCATCTCGTGGCGATATGAAAAAACGTCAGTCGAACTCCAGCCGCCATGATGATAGTTTACTATGTTATGTTATTCAAATGTTTGATGTTCCATTTGGTATATGTTTCATTTTTATGTATATTTCTTTTGTTTGTAACTGTTCCTGTGTGCTCTGTTAATAAATCCTTTTATAGCTAGCCGGCATTAGTGTCTATTGAGGAACGGCTACAATTTACAATTTATACGTCAGTGCTCCAAACGCATAGTAATGTTGTTATAATAGATTTCATGCTAAGCTTTTTTTTAATTTAACTATCAATTTCTGCAAACATTTACATGATTACTTTAATTAACGAAAAATATTTCTAGCACACTAACGCACTTTGATTCGGAATAATCTTTTGCACGCCAGTGAACTATATTAAATTTTCCAGTCTAGTTCAGACATCTTAACTATTATTGATCCAATTTATAAAAAATATAATTGGTATGCTTTAAAATTATTTAATTTATAATATTATTATAATATTCCTTGCTGTAATATTATAATTAATGAAAGATGTTTGTAATGCTAATATGTATATTTACTAATACCTTTTATTTTCTTTGTTAGCTCTCGCATTGATTACTGTTATTCAAACAATTAGCCTGCTTGTTAAATATTCTTTACTTGTTCTTATAATTGTGATATGTCTTTATTTTCTATTTCTTTATTTTTATTTTCTTCTTGGCTACAATTGGCTTCGAAAAGTAAAATTGTAACCCTGTAGGCAACAGGGGGAAGAAATTTTGGTTCACGCAGTTGGACTATACAAGGACGAGGGGGGATTTTGATTCGCGCACTTGCAGTACACCCTCTAAGGTACATTATTCTCTGAAAATATTGAATGTCTGTAATGAGATAGATCGCGAATTCAGTGCATTTTTTTTCAATCAATGATGTTCAAAATAAAAAGATAATACTTTTATGAACTATTCTTCTGCTTTTCAGTTGCTTAGTTTATTATTCCCTAATAGACAGATGCAATCTGAAAGATAAATAGCTTAGATTTTGCCCAATGGAAACAGACTTCAACGAAAAATGAAAATCTACATCAGTGGACAACGTAAAATCGTGTTTCGAGAATAAAAACTGTTTTGGGTTAAAAATTATGTATGGTATTTTGAGTATTAATCATTTATTATTATCCTATGTATAAATTAGTATTTAATCTGTGCCAGGAAATGCATTGCTTTGCATACTGATTTTCATGTTAAATTTAAATGAAATTTCTTTAATTTCTTTGTTTTTTAGCATGTCCCATCAACCAACACTATGAATCGTGTGGAAATGCTTGTCCTTCTACCTGTGAAAGTCTTGATAAACACCCAGTGATATGTGTTGCCATGTGTGTTCCAGGATGCCAGTGTAATCAGGGATATTTGATGACAGAAAGGGGCCTCTGCGTAAAGCCCGAAGATTGCCCATAATAAGGTTGAGTTCACCAAAATGCTTTTTAGTTAATTTTCTTTCGAATTTATAAATATTAATGATTATTTGATGAATTTTGATACTTTAATTTTAATATTGGTAAGAATTTAAATAGCATAAAAATCCTAATCGTACTTATATTTTACTGAAAAATTATCATAAAAAATATTTCCTTAGAATATTATATTAAAATAATAAACCTGATATATTTTTCCAATTTTTCTTTTACAGGAAAAGGAAATCTCATAAGTAACCATAATGTTGTGCAACTCTGGCAGCAAAATAGTAATAGATTCGTATTATAAGTTTTACAAATATATGCATGAATGTGTACTGTAGAATTTGCAAGTGGTTCATAATTGTATATTGCTTTATCTGTTGCTTGCTTGAAAGAACTGTATTACAAATAAATTATATTACAAATAAAATGGAGTTTGAAGTTTATTATTTTTATCATTTGATTGAAATTATCATTAATTATGCGCTATATATGAAATCTAAAGCCAAAACTAGTAGCTATATGTAAAATATTTCAATTTTAGTTATAGCAAAGATATAAGGGCATTTGCGGTTCTAAAATTATATTTCACAGTTGCATTATTCCACTGAACATGTTCTTATTACCCTGAGCTTCCATGTCTAATTTTCTAACTTTCAAACAAATATCAGAAATTTCAGTACAAATACTGTATAGCAGGGGTGGGCAGACGTTTCCAAGGTACGGCATATTTTTAATTTTTTCAAGGTGTTGCGGTTTCCCCTCCCCCAGTGGCATAGGTGTGGTGAGCTAAAACAAAAGATCTACAATATTATTATAACCATAATAAATACGGAATATGTACTTATCTACCTAACACTACCTAAAAAAACTTACTCTTTTAAAACCGCGGTTAGAATAAACGCAAGATACAAACATAACATTAATATCCACAAATATAATAATTTCAAATGATGCATTTATTATCAAACAATTCAAAATACATTAAAAGATAAATCATTTTCATTTAAAGTTAGCTCTCGTAGTTATAGTTTGTAGAAGACTTAGTTTGCATACTGTCCGTCAATCTTCAGTATCTCGGTATATAATTATTAACAGCTAATCTTGCACTGGATTCTAAGTGTTCCTTTGTAAAACAGGAAAGATATGTTGTCTTAATAATATTCATCGTTAAAAATGCAGATTCACACAAGTAGGTAGAGCCAAAGAACGATGTTAAATGAAATGCAAATTTTTAAAAATTAGGATACTTTACTTCGTCCATTAGATTTCAAATGTTATTCTTAGGTTCTGAACTATGTGCTTTTAAAATTATGCCATTTTAAAAGAGAGAAACTTCGTTTTCTTCAAGAGGTAAAAAGAATATATAATATATATTTTCAGTTATTTCTTCCACATCAACATTGCCAAATGAATAACACATGAATGCAACAATTGGTTCTAGTCTAGTAAATTCTTGAAAAATGTCTCTCAAATTCGGAGTGACTTTTATTATTGCATCATAATATTTCTCTTTGTTTAATGTACCTACGTTTTTAAACAACTCATCGGAAATATTTTTGAAATTCTTTAATTCATTCTTCGTCAACTGGGAACATATTAGCTTTAACTTATTTTTGAAAGTATTAATCAATCCAATCAATTCCACTATTGTTTGATATTTTTCCTTGCAATTTAAGTTCAGTTCATTAAGATGGTTTGTTATATCAACAGCAAAAGCTAAATCCATCAACCAAACATCATCACTAAGTTCAACGTACGCTTTATCATTTGATTCCAAAAAATCTTTACCTCTTATAGTAGGTTCCTGAATCTTTGTAAAAATATACTCCGACTTAACCATCGAACATCTGTATGATATAACAATTACCCCGTAATCAAATTCGGGTGTGTGGGTTTTTTTTTTTTTTTTTTTTTTTTTTTTTTTTTTTTTTTGCTAGTTGGGCCAGAAACATTCTTCTCTGAAGACTTCTTCTTCGAATCGGATTCACAATTTTCATGCTGATTCCCGCATAACATGACGCATATTTAGAATTTTACAACAGAACGCCTGTTGCTGAAAAACGCAGGAAGAAAAGAAAGAAAATGCGGTTAAGTCATCGTTCTCTGATATACATAGTCAAAAATCCATAGACTATGCCGGCCATTAATGGGGCCCCATTAGTTGTCATTGATACAACTTTATAAATTGGAATTGTTCTACCTATGTATTTTTTGAAGGTACAGTAAACATCTTTACGTCGTGTTTTCTTCTTTAGATGTAATACTGTTAATAATTCTTCTCTTCCACTCATATTCTTAAAAACCATTCTTATAAAAATGCAAGTTGAGAAGTATGAACCATGTCCGTAGATCCGTCAAACTGCAAGAAAAAGCAAATGAAGTTAGTAATATCTTCGGTCAGCTGATCAGCCAAATCAGAATTCACCATTTCTGTGCCGGGCGTGATATTGCTGTGGAAACGTTGTAAGTCTTTAATTGCGAAATTAATTTTATTTTTGTTCTTGAATGAATCAAATAATGAATCGCTGGCTTCCAGACACGTTTTTTTTTTTATCATTTCTCCACCTGCGAAAAGTTTCTTATGTTTTGCTGACACATGGTTCACACGAAAAGATGTAACTGTTGCAGTCTTAGATATAGTAGTATTGGGTTTAATAAAATAAATGATTGTTGTACCCGATTAATTGCGATTCAAATTCTTTTAACGTTTGTTTACGCAATTACGTTTACTTTTTAACGGAAAATCTGCATCAAAACTTCCATGCGTGCTTTTGAAATGCCTTTCAACGTTTCCTTTTTTGGAAGTTCCACATTTGCATGACATATAGCACACATATTATGCATTTACCATTGTAAAGAAAAACTATTATTCTCATTCTGTATTAAAATTGTGTGTTTTCCTTTCTTAACACTTGTTTTCGACATTGTGCCCCTCTTTTAAAATATGGCAGATTACTATTTTTACTCCATAAACGCAAGTAACACAAAATTGTCAAGTTGAATGTTTCAAGAACAAGAAGCGACTGCTAATCCATGGAGCGTGGACGTATTCGATCGATGGTTCTCCATCGAATGGTCGGAGTGAAGAATAGTCAATATAGTCTTTTACTTTACTCTGTTACAGAAGGGGAAACTGGCCCTGCAAGGCCATGCCCCTTCTGGTTTGCCACGCAACTATGAAAACCAATGTTTCGGAAGATGGTCGAGTCTTCTAATTCGCTAAAATGTGACGGTGACTACAACATATACTACTATCATAAATAAGGATAAGGTAGTTATGACCTTGAAGTGCCGATTTTAACGTAACAGATTTTAGACACAGAATCCGAACAAAGAAGTAACTAACTAAAGTCAGTTAGAATGAAGCAGAAAAATAGAACATTTAACTGTGCAATGACATAGTTGCAATCTAGAAGAATTATTTTTGAACAAGATCCAGGTCTATAGCCCGCCGTGACGAGAGAGTGACAAACAAGTGAAAACAGATTTAATTCTTGCTTTCTTGGATACTAACAATACTGAAGAGATATTCCTTTTTTTTTAAATCCAGTATGTCACATGACGATATGAGGCCTCCTCACTCAGAACAAAAAAAAAAAAAAAAAAAAAAAAAGGATAAATCAGTTCTTCCACACAGTCCTTCGAAGACTTAGTGTATTTCAGCTCAAACACATGCAGGTACTCTTCATCGGGATGCCGGGCGAAAATGCCAAGCCCGGGAAAAAAGGAGATTAGCTTAAATTTTTGCAGCTACAACATCAAAGAGAAAGAAACTCGCTTCCATCATACACACTGGGAGACCAAAGAAAGCTTGCACGATAAACTCCCAAAAGTTAGCATTTTACCCCACTCTTACTGTCTTTCTCTATGCAGCATCTCCATCTCGCACCTTCGCAATCTCCTCCTTCTCCTCCCTCCTCGTGGACAAAAATACCGCCTTTTAAAAAGTTCCACAGTTAAGTTTTGCCGCCAATGAAAAAAGGATCAAGGATCAACGAAGTGCAATTTACGGAGTTCATAGGCAATTACGCCTTTACCTCCACATCTTCAAAGGAAATTACATCATCAAAAAGAGGGGATTGTCAAATAGGGTAAAAATTTTGAGAAGCCGAATGACTTGGAATAAGTGCCTTCACACTGAGTCAAAAAAAGGCAAAAAACTCAGAAGGTCTTAATTTTGCGCCGAAAAAGGGCCAGAATAATTTAGATAGGGGCAGCCATAAAATTTAGACTAGAAAAATAAAAGGTGAAGTTTCCTTGAACCTTGATAATCATGTTTTGCATACGTCAGAGGTGAAGAACTCGCAGGGGAATTTTCCGATGCGCGGTCTTCAGGGTTGGGGGGAGGGGGGAACCTGTTTACAGGTCGAAAAAGTAGTTCTGCCAGTGATCAGCTGGGAGGGAGAAGTTTCATTTTTGACCGCTATTCAATGCGGTATTTAAAGGCCTAAAAGGACGCTGTTAAAGCGCCTAAGAAAGTTCCTTCTTAAAAGGAAGAAAAGAGCAGTATTAAAAATCTTTTTCATCAGTTTAATTTCAAAGTTAGAAAATATTTTTAAATCAGTCCTTTTTGACTGTGATGTTTCTTATTAAAGAAACGTTAAAGGGGTTCCTCGAGTTAATGCCGTGTGCATTAAAGAACTTTAGAGGCGGGGGGGGGTTAAGGAACGAGAGGTAAGTTATTCACGTGGCTATCAGTGTGCTCATATCTAGCCCGTTTAAATGGCAGAGCTGAATATTCCCTGGTTGAGAACCGCTCTGGGTCTTTTCCGGGAAGAAGCAACAGCAGGATCGTATACGGGTAGCATATGAAGCACAGGATTAGCAACACGTTGAATATTTTTGAAAAATTTTTCCGAAAGTCGCTGTATATAGCGATTAATGGGCATAATTTTGAGGTCGTTATGAATCTCTTCGTTCCGTACGAACCACGGAGCTTTTAGAATTTGCCGAAGCATTTTAGATTGAAAAATTTGGAACATGTTTTCTGTTAGTCAGTGCAGCATGGGCCCCATACGGGACACGCATACGTAAGAACGGCCTAATCATTGATTTGTAGAGCAAGATTTTGTTATCAGTTGACAGGTCGCTATTTACTAGCTAAAAGGGGGCGTAGGGCGGTTTTGACAGCTGTCGCACCCGCTATGATTTTGCGGATGTGAGGCTGCCAAGTTAATTTTGAGTCTAGTAAAACACCTAGATATTTGTAAGAAGAGATCCAGGGAATGGGTTCACCGAAGAGCATTAAATTAGGTAAACTTGGGATATTTCTTGGGATGAACACAGTGGTGGCACATTTTGCGAGTTTAATTTTGATTTTATACAGACCGAGCCAGAATTAAGGTCGAAAGGTAACTCTGCAATTGGGAGATTACCTGGAGGATGTTGGAATGTTGTGAAATGATAGCTGTATCGTCTGCGTATAAC